ATTTCTGCTCTTTCTTATTGTATATGTTTAAGATGCACAACATGATGTTTTCACGCACATATATGTAGTGACAGGATTACTACTGTTAAGCAAATTACGTCTATCACCTCAGATAGTTACCTTTTTATTCCTATAGTAAGAACACCTAAAATCTACTCTCAGCAAATTTCCATGGTACAATAAAATATTACTGACTATAGACCTCATGCTGTACATTAGATCTCTAAATGTATTCATCCGACATAACTGCAACTTTGTACACCTTGACTTACATTTTCCTGTCCCTCCCACTCCTGGTAACCATCATTCTACTCTCTCTTTCCATGTATTTGTCTTTTTTTTAGATTCCACGTATAAGTGAGATTATGCAGTATTTTTCTTTCTGCATCCGGCTTATGACACTTAGAGATCCCAAAACTCATAAGCACTTTCTAAATGTCAGCTGAGAACCCCATTCTCTGCTTCACTAGCGAATTAAGACCATTTAACTTCAACTTTTCACCTTATGTCTCAAAATCTGTATTATATTTACTCATCTTCTCCTCTTTTTCTCCTGTCTTAGGAAAACTGGTACATTTTGTATAGGTCTTAATCTTTTTTGACTGTGACCCTGACCCTACTGAAACTTGCTCCATCAATTTGTTTCCACTCCTTCCATGTATTTCAACTCGTTATCGCCACTGTCCTCTTTGTTTTAAGCTACAAGTCTTCCCTATCTTGAAAACACCTTCTGTGCTTCTGATTGTCCCTGTACACATAGGCATCATCTCCTAGGTCTCCTTACCCGCTCTTCTAAATTTCTCAGAAGAGCCGTATACATGTGTTGCTTTTAATTACTCATGAATGCTTACTTCTTAACCAATTAGAGTGAACTCAAGTTAAGAGATAATGACTTCTATTTCCAATAATCTCTTCTGTTTCCATCCCAGTCTGTATCTGTGGAGCATTTTCACTCTTGACCCCATTTCCTTACTTCTGCTAGCAATGCAAAGAACTAAGGAGAAAAGAGTGACTCTCTACTCTCTTCTCTCTAACACTCTGTATTTCTGTATTTTTTTTTCCTCTTTTTTTTGGTTCTACCAGCCCCTGAATAACAGAGAATACTTGAATTCTATTCTTGGGCAATTATGTTTTTAAACTGCCACTCTTTCCCTAGGGAAATTTATTCAATTTTGGGGGAAAAAATCATCTTTACAATTGTCCTTATGATTCTCCCTTGACCATCACATTTAATTCACAGCACCTTCTGGACATCTGCAAACTTACCATGTACAATATTTAACTCAGTTCTAATTTCGGCTTGATTTCATATCTTGGTTTATAACATGACCATGACGAAGTTTTCAATCACCCATAGTCTATTAATTTATTTCCCCAATTTTTCACATTTCTTGTATTTTAATTACAAATTTGCCTTTCCATTGCCTGTGATGCTTAGCATCAGCATCTCCCTACCTGAGGTCATCGTCATGTCTCTTAGACCACTGCAATAACATCATATAACAACCTCCTTTACTAGATCACTTGAGTTATTATACAAGAAGTTTTGCAATTCCTCTTCCTTTCAAATCTCTAATATCTTCCCCTGTTCTTCTCAGTTATTTCATACTACACACCTGAAACTTAACAGGCATCCATGATCTGACTCTATTAAACCTCTGCAACAGTAGCTTGTATTCTGTACCCTCTATGTATCCACAAATTTGGTACATTGCTCCTCAAGTTCCTACATTTCCTTCGGTCAAAAAAATTTATTCCCATTTAATTATCTCTCAAAATTTTACTCCTTTTTAAATGCCAAACAGAAATGGCACTTTCTTAATGATAGTCTCCCCTGCCCACACAGTGCAGATGCCCCATTCCTACAACACAGGCATAATCAAATTCTGTACATTTAAACCAAAATGCTATATTGATATCCAAATTTTATAACAAAATCTTGGGAGGGTTAAAACATGAGCTCTGGGACTTACATGTGATCAAATAGAAACATGTAGATGGACAGACCTGGGTTTGAGTGGTATTTTTGTCATTAACAAGCAATACAATGTTGAGCAAGTCACTTAAACTTTTAGTGTCTTGGTTTCTTCAATCTAAATATGGAGAAGAGAGCTACCTCATGAGGTTTTTGTGAAGATTAGACATGATGATGTCTGTAAGGTGCATAGTGCCTGGTATAGATTTAGCACTAAGTAAAAAATAGCTATCATTTTTATTATAGTTATTATGCCTGAAATAGAAAAAAGATATTTAATGTTTATCAGGTAAATAAAGCTTCATGACATTTTGCAAAATTTGTATACCAGCTGTACCAATTCATTCTCTGAGTTGTTCTATTACAAAGAAAGGTTCAGTTATCTTATGTGTAAAATATTGGTTTAAACCAAATGATTCATTTTTCCCAAATCCAGTGGCCCTGGATGCTAAGTAGTTTGCCTTATGTGACTAAGACATCATCACAGACTTCTTACATTGTCAGTCTCTCCTTTGCGGCATAAAGCACTAACAACTGCTCAGGTTAGCCTGAAATTGTATCCTCTTTAAATCCCTTCTGTGTATCTGGTGTTTGCATAGATTACCTCACAACCAAAATCTTACATCCTCACTAGGCCCTAGAGAGACTTAATTGTGTCTACAAAAACTTGAGGACTGGGCCAGAGTGTCACTGTTGTCCAGTCATTGCAATTCCTGGACAGGTTTCCTTTATTAGCCTGTGAATCACTCCTTTGTTACAGCGCTCCCCAGAATTTCTGGGGGCAGAAAATGGTCAGAAATCACTTTCTAATCATTGGGACTTCTTGGAATGGAAACCCTCTAGTGATTTTATTTCAAGCCACAAAATTAGCATGTCACTAAATGCAGTATAAAAACAGCCACACAAGCAGGCAGACTGTCATCCACCCAGCTCCACCTTCACTTTTTGACCTTCACCTTGGAAAAACGGTAAGAATTTTAGATATAAACTGAACGTACCTCTTCCTTACGCTTTAGGAAGATCAGAATTGCTTAAATATATCCTTTGAAATATGGATATTTAAGGTAGTGCTGAAACTAATTTCAACATTTGGGTTAAAAAATAGAAGTGCTTAGAAGGATTTGGTAAAAATTATAATGACCATATACCACACAGCCTTCATGAGTCTAAGAAAATGTAGTTACAAGATATTACAAGCCTAGTTAATAGTTAGGATTAAGAGGAGATACATTTCTTGAATTAATATCTTCAGATTTGATTTAATATATCACAGCCATAATAACATTTAAATTACATATAAGAAGATAAATGATTATTGGGAAAGCTTTATCCAACAGATATAGAGGTAGCATATTGAGTCAAGAAATGGAGGGAGTAGTTTGGAGAAATGCATTACTTGAAAAGTTTATGAACAATTTGTTTAGAAGAAAAGTGTACTCATCAAACTTGTCTAGAACATCTAATCTACATATTATTGTCTAGTTTATAATATTTCAAAATAATGCTAAAATAGAAACATGAGAATACAGAATTGAATTAAAAAGAACCAGTGTTTCACTTTGTAAGAAATTTCTAGATGGGATAGAGATGACTTGTAAACCAAAAGCAAAGAAAATAGATGATTTGAAAGGAAAAGTAGCTAAGAGTATATCAGGCAATAATAAAGTTCTGGCTTTAAAATTGGCATATAAAACACTAATTACAAAATATAGAAAATTCAATGGAATTTTCTCTACATGTACTAATCTCTAACGGAATTCCACATTCCTTTTTTTGAATCCTAACAATAAAAAATTATTTGAAAACTTATGAAGATCTTAGGCAAAGTAAAATTAATGAAGAATTATATAGCACCCATGACAAAAATTTAGAAAAAATATTTTTTTTCCTTAATAGTGAGAATTATTTTCAGCCTTCAAGTATTGGAAAGGGCATTTTGCAGATGAACTAGAGAGTTTTTTTTTTTTTTTTGAATGAACTGCTTTTTATTTAGAAATTTAGTTTAAATAGCTAAGAATTAAGAGTGTATATCAAATGATACTACACAAACACTGTCTTTTGACAATAAACTATAGAAAATGCAAGAAAAAGCAAACAAGGAGGCCATTAAGTACACTTTGGGCAAATGTGCTAACATATATGACTATTTCATAAGAATAGGTAGGTTGGGGGTTGGGAGTGAGCAAGAAAATCTGATCCCTTGGTAAATCATCAGGAGATCAGTGTGCACATTTTAATAGAGAGAAAATAAGCATAGTGTTTGTTCTGTAAAGTCATGGGGCACTAAGGAACAGAGACATTATTAGGTGTGTGGAGATGAAGACTGCATTGGGCTGTAAATGCAGAAGAAGCAAGCCTGTGAGTCCAAAAAGCATCTGGAGAGTGGAACAAGTAAAGGAAGTGTTAAGATGAAAATCTCAGTCTTATTTTAAATAAGAAGATATTATTAAACTAAATATTCATGGCAACTATCTAGTTTAGTAAAATAAACATAAAAATAAAATTTGATTTTCTTTGTAAGCATTTTTTTGATCAGTCTCTCCTAGTAGAATTGAGGTCCCATCAGGACTGAGATCTTGGTACTCTGTTCACTGCTGTATCTCCAGTGCCTAGACAATGTCTGGCCATAAAAGGTACTAAATAAATATTTTTGAATAAATTAATAAATAAATCTTCCTGTAAATATTTACTACTTATTTATACATTTCAAAACCAAACAAACAAAAAACCCCATAGTACTGTGAATAAGATTAAAATAAAAGAGCAGGGAAAAGCTGTTAGCTGAAAAAATCTGAGTGGCTGGCAATAAAGTTTGCATTTGATATGTAAGAATAGGGAGCCAGAGTAGATTTCACCTTGGTCGTATGATAAAACTTCTATTAATATTATCTCCTATAATACAAACATTTCTATTGTACATAATCTTTGATTTCTTTTAAAAGAAAAGTAACTCTACCTAAATAAGAAAATTGATTGACCAATCTATTTCCATTCCCTCTTTCCCCATTCATAGGACTTGATAGCCATGAAAGTCCTTATCTTCGCCTGCCTGGTGGCTCTTGCTCTTGCAAGGGAGGTATGTGCAAAAGGAAACTTCTACATAATTAAGATAGAGTGAACTATCTCCCTACTCATAGAGAATAACATCAGCAACATTTTTTAGTGAGCAAATAATGTAGAATTTCAGCAGAATTTTTTTGGTTTCTATGAAAATCATTTATGTTCACCCAATCTCAACAGTTTCTGTGGGGACCCAAAGCAAGGTCAAATGTTTTCCATTCCAATATGCCACCAGTCCAGAAAGGAAAAGTAAACAATTCAATGAATAATAAACAAAACAAGAAGAAGAAAGAACATAAAAACAGCGAAAAAGTATAATATTGTACAAATACAATTGCATGCATGTTCAACCTAGATAACTGTGTCTTATTCTGGTGATAAAATATATGTATCTCTTACCCTAGGGCATTGGGCCAAATCCTACCTGTGTCTATCCAAAGATATCTAGAGGATGGAGCACAGACAATAATCATAATCATAAATAAACATAATCATAATAAAAAGTGTTCAATGAAAATTAAAGTAAAACCTCTGTTACACATCAAAATTCTGTTTATTTAAGTAAAATAAAAACATGCCATTAAAGTTCATAAATATAAAAACATTAAAACAATCAACTTTTGAGTCTAGTTTTACTTTTTAAGTTTATAAAAGACATAGCTCTGCACAAAGGATGTAAAAATTAAGTAGAAGACATGTTTAATGATGAGTGAGTTACAGAAACTACAGTGTTTTTTTTCTTTACAGAAGGAAGAACTCAGTGCATCCACTGAGGTAAGATGTTTTTATTCAGAGACAATTCTCCAGCCATAAAACAGTAACATTCTCTAATGATCTAGAAGGCTTCAGGTGCTTTTTTCCTTTTTTTTCTTCTCTTTACAGACTGTTGAAAGCCTTTCAAGCAGTGAGGTAAGACAGTGTTCTTTCAGAAGCAACATCCCAATTTTAGAACAGTAAAATGCTGTGCTAACTTTCTATTGTGTTACATCATAGAAGTTAAGCTAATGCAGGTATGTTCTAACATATAAATTCTGATGTAAATTTCCTTTATATATGTTTAAGTACAGAATAAATGTCTGGGGAATTCAGCATTCTAGAACATTCTAAGTTGGCTTGCTACTTGAAATTGTGTCATTGTGTCTTCCTTTTTTAAAATGAAACATACATTCCTATTTTCTGTCTTGAACTCTCCACTCTGACCTCATTCACTTTAAACATTTTTTGAGTTCCTTCTCTGGACCAGACATTGACTAGGAGATATGGAACAAATTGAAAAGACAGCAATGCCGATGATACGTAAACCTTGCAACCTAGTGGCTGGGCAGACATGCAAAAGGCCACATTTTGTAATTATAATAGTAACAGTAGTAGTAATTACTTTAGTCAATAAGGGGCAGTGAGATTTAGTGTAGTTCTAAATATACTTGGGACAGTCAGATAGATATTTATTCTTGTACTAATCTTTTTGGGTGTGTTATCATCTGTTAAGTAACTGGTACATCAATATGCTTTGTTTCTTCACAAAGGTTATAAGATCTTTAGGGGAAGTGTTTATTTCTTATAATTCATTTGAAGCCTAATATGTGACAAGTGAACCAAGAATGATTAACATAATGAGTCAATTGTTATTAACTGAGTCTTTTTTTTTTTTATTGAACCAGACGGAGTTTTAGAGATCATTTGTTGTCAGAGGAAGGAGTATGGCTATAGAGAGTAATTAGCATCTATTAAATGTCTCTTTTTGTACTAGTTCACTAATTTTCTTTTCACTCTTGACTACATTCATCTGACTTTCTTTTATACAACGGGCTTATACAGAACAATGCAACATATGCTTCAGCAATTATCCTGTTTTTAATAATATTATCAAACAAAGGTGTCCACATAACCTTCATTTACTTCCTCTATTTTCTGACTTACATTGAAAAATAAAAATTATTCATTAAAACTGAAACTGATTTTATTTATTTTTTTTCCCAAAGGAATCTATTACACATATCAAGGTAAAATCTTCATATTTAAAATGTTCATATTTTCAAGATTATTCATGTTTAATTTTTACAGATGGTAACATTTCTTTATACATGATTTGTTTTTAGCAGAAACTTGAGAAGGTTAAACGTGAGGAACAGCAGCAAAAAGAGGTAATTTGTTTGTGATGAGTATATTTCTAAAATTCTTATGAAGTATAATAAATAAAAAAAAATTGGAATGTGTATGTTCAGTCTAAAGAATGCTAATAAAGTAAATGCCATGTACCAACCGATCAGAGTATAAAGTGAAATACTGACAAAGTCAATATGTTTTCTAAGGCTTAAATGTATTTTAAAACTTATAATCATTTTCTAGAACATGGACTAAATACCTCATGATATTATTAATGGCATATCTGTTTTCAATAAGTGCCCATCAGTCCGAACCATCCTAGTAGGGAAATATGTTCTCCTCTTATCGTCAAGGTATTTATGGTAATGAAGGGGAATAAAGGCAATATGGCAATCCTAAATAAATCATTTACCACCTGTATAACCCTGGATGCAAGTTTCTCTGTACTTCATTTTCTTTATCTGTACACTGAGAATATTTATAAGAATATCCACCCCATAAGGTTGATGAACGGGCCCACAGAGAATATTCAATGATGGCACGTTAACATTTTGTAGGTTTTATTTTAACATTTCTTAAAAACATGATGTTTTTAAGAGTATTTCTGTTGGAAAAATGAGAAAAGTGAAGTACAAAATAATTGAATACACAATTGTGCAACAATTTTACACAGTTTTTAAGTAACAGAGCTTGATTAAAAATCAAGAATTTTCTTGGACAACATAAAATTCTACAATTAATTAAATTACATTTATGGTAACATATTGATTACTGAATTGTAATATTTCAGTTTCTCTGTTTTATCATTGGATTGTTCAGTGTTCATGCAAAATATCCTCTGAATCAAATTGAAGATTAAAAATTGTTGCCTCTTGAAAGACTCCAGAAAACTACCTTTTGCCAAGGGAAGTAATGATAGAATCTGGCCAATGTTAAGTGACTCATCTTAATTTGTGGCTCAGTGAATTTAGCCACAAATTAAGACTAATTTTTCACTAAAACAAAACAAAAATAAACCTTGGAGTTGTTCTTCCAAGTCTTTTAAAATCAATCTCTCTTCATTATATGAAAATAATTTGGTCAATTATCAACACAATTATATTGAAAATTCAGAGTTCTCTGAAGACCAAAGCATACAGCCAGAGGTATTTAGGCAACTCAGGAAAAGGTGGAAGAATTCCCTAAACATTGATCGCAGTGCATTCACCTATAAGGTCAGTGGGTTGAGGAGATGTTCCTCAAAGAGCATTTTACTCATTTTTCTTCACATGACCCAGGATAATTTATTAACCAAGGTGAATGAAAGATTTTCTTTCTCTCTTTTCTCTCAATTATGGTTGTCCAAAAGAGGGATTAATTAATCAGGAATGACAACTGTAGCTGAATCATGAACTGAGAGATTCTTTTTCCTTCTTTTTAGGATGAACTCCAGGATAAAACTTACCCCTTCGTCCAGCCACAGCCTCTGTTCTACCCTTACACTGTCCTTCCACAAAACTTCCTGCCTCTTGCTCAACCTGCCATGGTGCTGCCTTTCCTTCAGCCTGAAATGATGGAAGTCCCCAAAGCAAGAGAGACTGTCACTCCTAAGCGCAAAGTGATGCCCTTCCTTAAATCTCCAACAGTGCCCCTTTTTGACCCTGAAATCTTGAGTCCCACTCATCTTGAAAATATGCACATTCCTCTGCCTCTGGTCCAGCCCTGGATGCACCAGGCCTCCCAGGCTATTCGTCAAACTCCTATGCTTCTTCCTCAGCCCCTGAGGTCTCTTCCCCAGACCAATGTCCTGCCTGTTCCTCAGCAAGTGGTGCCGTACCCTCAGAGAGAGATGCCTGTTCAAGCCTTTCTGCTCTACCAAGATCTGCTACTCGACCCTTCCCGCCACTTCTACCCTGTGGCTCAACCACTCGCCCCGGTTTACAACCCATAATTGTAAGTCCAATCTACTTTCTTTGCTTCACTTTCAATGTGTTTATAATGGTGGAATAAATAAGTGATAGCTCTCAAATAAAAGAATAAATGTGTAATAAATGAATCCAAAGAATATATATTTAAATGTATTTAATTTAATACAATTTAAATCAGTGATTCTCAATGCTAGCTACACTGTAGAATCACCTGGAGAATTTCCCCCCTGCAAAATCCCAATGCTGAGGACTACTCAGAAGGATTCTGATATAATTGTTCTAATTTTCCACGTAGAAGAAATTGAGTGTTGGGTAGGAATGATTGCAGGAATTCTGATTTAATTGGTTTGTTGAGGATTCTGGCTTAGATAAAGAGGATTAAGGCTTACTAAAGCCAGAATTAAATTTGATAATGTGATTTAGTTTGGAATAAAGAAGATTTATTATTTTCTGTAGTTTTAAAGTTTTCTTATGCACATCTATTCTCCACATCTCTTATTTCCCATCTTATTTTTGCTGAATGTACATATAAGGGCAAAGTATTAAAATGTTTATTTCATTACTTATAGCATTCTTTAGGCAAGTGTTATTGTCAAAAGGTAACACTTTTACATATTTATTCATTTTGTATTTATTTATTTTTAAGGTTTAAAAGGATTTTAAAGTTAATGCTCTCTCTTCACTTTTGGTAAGTTTTGGGAGTTTGGAAATTAGATTGATCATTTTTATAGTTATCTTTTTATATTTTATTTCTCTGCACAAGCCCAAAGTAGTGGCAAATTCCATCAGTATACTAACTTACTAAGTATCATTTTCAATTATTTCAGTGTTGACTTTCAGTTATTATTGGTGTTAAAAATAACCATGAAAGAATGCTTTGAAAATGAATAGAATGCTTTAAATTTAATATTAAAGTGTAGAAAAATGGTAGGAAAAATAGGATGATTGTATGCCCCATATTTGCTCTCTATGGTTGACTATTATTTAGTAATCTGAAATTATCTTTTGCATGTCAAATAACTTTTAATTTTATTTACATGTTATTGACAGATTTGACTGGCTTGCTTTCAAGGGCCTATAACCATGAGTTTGATTATTATCATTTTTAGGAAAAGCAGAAAATAAGTTTTCTTTTACATTTACGTAAATATGTCTGAACTTTTGTTAAAGACCAACTTGCATTCTTGGTTCTAACTTTGGTTTCAAAAACTTTGTATTCACTTCACTTAAAATTGTCTTTTAATTCATGAGTCAAATAAAATTACTCACTCCAGGTATGAGGCTTAAAAAGGAGAGAGAGGATAGCTTTGGGATTCTAAGATATAAATCATGATCATGATAGACTAGACACTTCACTAAAACAATTCAAAGTGAGTTTATATTTGGCCCTGTAGGAACTTCATATGGTTCCAAGGAAATGTAATGCAGAGTGCATTTGTAATATAATTTCTTTTATGAATTAGTCTCACCAAACTTGCAAATGGAGAGTGGTAACTAATTACATCACATAACATAGCTAATTCTATATTTTCTCTCTATTCCACAGAATTGACTGAGACTGGAAGTGTGGCATTGTTTCCATCTTTGTGTCATGTTACCAAAACATAAATGTTTTGAATGAATCTCCATGGAAAAAATGAAACTTTATTCTTTTATTTATTTCATGTATTATATGGCATTTATTTAATTTGAATTTGACTCATAAACTCTTTATACTTTTCAAATTTTAATTCAACTAGTACTATAGAAGTTTAATATGGGTTGGAAATACTATAAACATATCAAAAAGATGTATAAAATAGTTTCTGGAATTGTGCTTATTATTAGTTCATTAAGAATCTATTTCCTTTCCAGTCATTTCAATAAATTAATCCTTTAGGCATATTTAAGTTATCCTGTCTTTATTATAATTTTTCAAACCTTATTGGCTTCCTTAATGCTGACTTTTGATTATTATTGGTGTTAAAAATAACTGTGGAAGAATACTTTTAAAATGAATAGAATGCCTTAAATTGAATATTAAAGTGTAGAAAAATGGTAGAAAAAATAAGATGATCATATGACCCATGTTTGCTCTATAAAGTTTTAGTCCATTTTCCAAATGTAATTATGGCACTATGACTTTCACTCTCAAAAGAATTCAGCACTGGGTGGTAAATTTGGGTGTCATCCTAGAAAATAATAATTTTGCCACATGGTATCTAAGTGAAACTGTGTGCGTTCATCTCTGAGAGTTTCAATTTCTCTATCTATGAAACAGTGAGAAGGATTTTATTGAAATTTTGATAACATACCAATAATGTGATTAGTGCACTGCATAGTACATGATTGCTGACACCACTTACACCACAGCACCAAAGCATTCTATCACGATCAGAATGAACTGGGTTACATAGTTTTAGCCAAGAATGCCCAAGAAACTAAAACTCATGTGAAACTCTGATAACTCTGTGAAATGTTTTATCGTGATGAATAAACCCAACTCCTCCACTTGTGCATTTGATTTCATCTCCCTGAGTTTATACAATGCTCATGTCTAGCAATTATTCCATGGTACAATGCCTCTTTACACCATAATAACTAAAATCTTTAAAGAAAATAATTTATCCATGACACCGTACCTCCAAACCCCTCCCACTTCTTTTAGTTACTCTATGGTGACTATCATAGAAGTATCCATACCTCTGTTTTCATAATCTAACATGTTATTCGATCATTAACCCATACAAATCAAGACTTTGTCTCCCACTGAACTCACTTTTCTTCAAGGTTGTGAATGATTTTCTTCTTGCTAATTTTAATTTGTGTTCATTTTACACAGTCTTTCAGGAGTATTTGTTAGAGTCGATCATCCCCTCCCCCCTTTTTGTAATATCATAATTCTCTTCATTTGACATACTCAACCTGATAAACCCTTGGTTTTTCTCTTAACTCACTACCCACTTATTCTCAGTCTCCCTTCTGGAATCTTCTTTTCCAAACCTTTAAGGGTTGGAGTACCCCAGGAGTTAGACTTACACTGGCTAATTTTGTTCAGTTTCCTGGCTTCAAGCACATCCTTACGCTGAGGGTTTCTAAATGTATATCTCCAAACTTACTTCTTTTGGAAACTCCAAACTCATGCACTCAGTTGCCTTCTTGACCTCCACACCTAAGTATATAATTAATACTTCATACCTAGCAATGGCCAAGCATAGATCTGCATCTGAATCCAGTCCCCAACTTGCCCTTTCTCAATCTTCTTCTAATCAATAAGTGGCCCTACAATCTCTCTGTAATCCAGACTAAAAATTTAGGAGTAACTGTTGGTTCCTCTGTTTTCTTCACACTTGTACTGGGTTGGACAGTGTCCCTAAAAATTTCATGTTTTTCTGGAACCTCAGAATGTGACCTTAGTTGGAAATGTGGTCATTACATGAATAATTACTTAAGATGTGGTCACTGGAGTAGGGTGAGCCCTTAATCCAATATGACTGGTATTCTTGGAGAAGAGGACACACAGAGACAGAAGCACAGGGGAGACTGCCCTGTGACAACTGAGGCAGAGATTGGAATGATGAACCTACAGAGCAAGAAATGCCATAAATTGCTGGCAACAACAGGAGTTAGAAAGTCTTGGGATAGATTCTCCCCTAGAGGCTTTAGAGAGAGAATTGCCCTATGGACACCTTTATTTTGGACTTTTAACTTTCAGAACTGTAAGAAAACAAATTTCCATTGCCTTACGCTACTTAGTCTATTGTTCTTTGTTGCAGCAGCCCTAGGAAATTAATATACTTTCTACATCATTTATCAACGAGAATAGAAAGCTTAACCTAAGAAATATACGTTAGATCCCTCCAGTGCTCAGTAACTCGTCATTAATATTTTATACCTACTCATCATTAGCATCTCTTTCTGAACTACTGTGATGGCCTCCTAACTGAGTTCTCACTTGCCCTTTCTGCAGGTCTCTCTCTCTCTCTCACAGCAGCCAGGACGATCTTTTTAATAAACATAATTTCCCTCAAAACAGTTGCCCACAAGATCTTGCATTATCCAACCCTGGCCTGCATCATCAATCTCATATCCTGACACTGAACATGCACTCACTAAGCTCCATCATGGGAATGAGCCTTTTTGATATTCGATGATCACACTAAATTTATTCCTCTTCAGAAAATGTACCTAGAGCATCAGAGAGGTTAAGAGCATGAACTCTGTGGTCTAACTTGCTAAGTTCAAATATCAGCTCCAATGTTTACTTAATATAGCCTTGTATAAGTTACTTAATCTCTCAGTACCTCAGTTACCTCATCTTTAAAATGGAATGGTAATATTTAGCTTTTAAGGTTATTATGTTGATTTTTTAAAATATTGATATATGTAATAAACAAAAATATTATTAAATATACATGTACTAATATTAGTAATGAATATTAGTAAATATGAGTATAAGAATATCTATATTAATAATTAGCAAATATTAGTATATAAGTATTTACTAATATAAAAATATTTGTGTACTAATAAAACACTGCTTGAGAGATTAAGTGCTACATAATTATCAGATATTAACTATAAGCTACCCAAACTCACAGAAGATGTAATAGATAACCTGCAAAGTACTATAACTATTAAAAAGAAATTTATTTTATAATTTAAAAAGCTCCCCAAAAGGCATCTCCAAGGTCAAATAGTTACACAGGGAAGTTTTACCAAACATTCAGATAAGAATACATACTTATTCTACACAGCCCCTTCCCACAAATAGAAAGAAGGGAACATTTGCGATTACATTTTATGAGGCCAGTAGTATCCTGATATGAAACTCAGAAAAAGCAGCACTTGCACACACACACACACACCCCTGCACACAGAAAACCAGAGACCAATATCTCTCATAAACCTAGATGCAAAACCCCTCAAAAAAATATTAGCAATCAGTTCCAAATAAATGTATTAAAAATGCACCACGACCAAGTGGAATTTAGTCCAAGTATGTAAGGTATGCAATATTTGAAAACCAATCAGTGTAGACTAC